AAAAAAAAAAAAAAAAAAAAAAAAAAAAAAAAAAAAAAAAAAAAAAAAAAAAAAAAAAAAAAAAGAGAGAGAGAGAGAGAGAGAGAGAGATAAATGCACGTGGCGGGCTTGGTGAGTGATGAACTGTGATGATCACATATCCCAAGCTGTGTTAACCAATGTTGTGGGCGTGGGATGTGAGTTTTAGTCTTCCCATCACCAAATCTACGGTGCCATTAAACGCCTTTCTCTCTTCTCTCTTCTCTCTTCTCTCTTCTCTCACTTCAGACACCTGGGGAATACAGGAACAATCCCAGGGGGTAGAGACGACCAAGAAAGGAACCTCGATCTTTCGGGTATAAAGGGTTCTTTCGATCCCTTTATCCACCCCGTTTCCTCTCCTCGCCTTTGCTTCTTTTCGACTTCCGGGGAGAATTCTGCAACCCAACTGGCCAAGTTTTGAAGAGGGGAAACCCTCCAATTTTCTGAGATCTTGATCCATTCTTGCTTTGGTTCTGTACTTTCTTTCTGTTTTGTAAATGGATTTAGATAGTATCGAGTGTGTATCATCTTCCGATGGTTTCGATGAGGATGAGATCCATCTGCATCACACTCTTCATTCTTATTCCCATTCTCATCATCATCCCGAGTTGTCAGCAACCAAGCCTCGCAATGGAAACAATAATAGCGCTGTAGCAGGCCCCACTGCCACTGCGCCGGCCACTAGCGTCCATGAATTGCTCGAGTGCCCTGTCTGTACCAATTCTATGTACCCTCCCATTCATCAGGTTTGGCCTTGTAGCCCTAATTATAATTACTTGCAGAATGGCCCTCTTCCCTGGGGGGAGGGGGAGGTATAGGGCCTCCTTCCTATTTCCATTTGATTTTCGACGACATAATTTCCTTCGATTTATCTTTTCCCTGCTGGGTTTCTGATTTAAGGTTGATCATTCAATGTTTTGGATGGATGTGTTAAATGCTAACTTGTATTTAAGTGCTCAATATGAAGTTTATAACTACATTATATTGAAATATGTCAAGTCTTTGGCTTGATATTTGTTGTGTCATGTTGTAACCATAGAACATAAACATCTCTCTTTCTTCTTTCTTTAGGTTTTCTAACACTAGGCTATATAATTGAGATGAAATTAGTACTTGACCTATTTGTGCTTGAAAGCCATTGTTTCTAGTATAATATGCTGGTTGTTTCAACCTACTTTCTAAGGAGATTTTTGGGTTTAGTTATAAACAGGATTTTGACTGCCTGATGAAACTTTAGTATCCCATTTCTTTTTTAGAGTGTCATTTCCCGTCATTTCAGTTATCTTCATCTTTCCTCTTGCATCATTTGGTAGCATGTTCGTTTTGGTACCGTCAGGATGAGAGCTGTTAAGAAGATGCTTGTTATATCCCAATATCGTCTTAAAGCATTCATGGGGTGTATACTTTGTTTTTGATATGTATCCGAGGCTTGTATGCAAATGTGGGTTAACTGTATATTCAACTAAATGTTGCAGTGCCACAATGGACATACATTATGTTCTACATGTAAAACACGGGTTCATAATCGTTGCCCTACTTGTAGACAAGAGCTTGGAGACATTAGGTGCTTAGCACTGGAGAAGGTGGCAGAGTCACTGGAATTGCCTTGCAGATATTATTCCTTGGGATGCCCTGAAATATTTCCTTACTACAGTAAACTCAAGCACGAAGCATTGTGCAACTTCAGACCCTACAATTGCCCATATGCTGGCTCGGAATGCTCTGCTGTTGGGGATATTCCTTTCCTTGTTTCCCATCTGAGGGATGATCACAAGGTGGACATGCACACCGGATGCACATTTAACCATCGCTATGTGAAATCTAATCCAAGGGAAGTGGAGAATGCCACTTGGATGCTTACGGTAAGTCTAATGTATTTGACCTTTATTCTTAAGTGTTTTTTTTTTTTTTTTTTTTTTTTTTTTTTTTTTTTTTTTTTTTTTTTTTTT